CATGTCGTGTTGAATTGTTCGTTACTTCTGTAACTCTTCATTTCTGGAGGAAATAAAGGAAATAATAATAATAATAATAGTTCAATGGGCCAATCGTGTTTTAGTCATATCCAAACGGCAGTTAAGGGGAGGCTACCGTATATAGCGAAAACAATACCGGAATCATTTTCTAAAAATGAAATCACTTCTTCACGTTTATTTCCTTTTTCGTTCTTCGTTCATTTTTTAATGGTATTCACGTGTGTCTTCGTTTTCATTTTTATTCTTTACTGAATATTTAGAATTTTCGAAATATTTATGTTTGAAAATTGAAAAAATAAAAAAACATTATACTTTTGTACGAAGTTCATAGAAAGCTATGTATATTTTTGTCAATATGATAATTTCACCGTATAAGAAAAACATCTTACGGTCATCATTAGACCCGACTCCCCCTACTGGAAAATGAATATTCTAATTTTTATTTTATTTTCTGTCTCAGGATCATTTCCATTAGGTAATTTGCAAAATTGAAACACTCTACAATAATACACGTTTTTAATTTATTTTATATCAGCCTTCATACTAAGCAGCATTTTTTTTTTTCGTTTTCGTTTTTTTTTTTCGTTTTCTTGAAAATTTGGTGGATTAATCTGTGTTCCAGCGTTCAGACAGCTATGCCCCTATGGATGTACGGAACACGACAATGGAACTCTCTAGTGTTTTTGTCCGCAGTGGGACGGGCATCCTTAATGTTCTATACGTACAACTCACCTGTTATGAAATGTGCTTTTAAAGTCGTTAGACTTTGAAGTATAGATCTACCTGGTTATAAATCACACCTGTTGAACGGTAACGTTATCGATTTCTACCATTTGTACATAACGTATATATTTACACAATAGCTTTCTTTGGCGCACACATTATGTATCTATATATATGTATAATATAAACGGAAATTAACTCACCTCACTTGATGACTACACCCTTCATCCTTTTAATAATTAATCGATTCGATCTTAGCGATTTTTGTGTAATTACCTCCCTTTGTCGCTGCAGCGTTTACGCTAACCCTATGAGTCATTTTAGTGCAGGGTACACGTCTTAACAATTGAAGATCTACAAAAGCACAAAGAGTTTTGAAATCACAGACAAACGTTCTATCCAAGATTGTTAGTTTCTGAACTGAGAATATGGGAGTTTTGAAATATCTACACAGAATTATTTTCAATAAAGAAAGTTTTCTATTTTATTATGGAATTGTCCTCAACAACCTTGCTCATTTCAATGAGATATTTACTTTAAAAGGTATCAATTAAATGGCCGATATTGCTCAAAATTGTAGTTCCCTATGATACTAACGACCAAAGCTTACGTAGTTCAATATCAAAATCAACAGCAAAATCCCCAAATATATTTCATCTGTTATAAGATACTGATGCAGGAATAGGAAAATTTGACCAATTTATTTGTCAAAAAGAAAAAAAAAATTCCTGTGTTTGTTGTTAAGTATTTAGATATATGCAACATAATTTTTAAGCAAAAAATACATTAAGCTAACCATGCGTTAAATAACTTAATACAAAGAAAGTTTTGGAAAAGACTAGTTAGGTTGACGGATTTAAAAAATTATATCATAAGTTCATTAATTATATTAATCTTAAAGATTTAAGAATATATTTCCCCTGTAAGATTTCAGTACAATACATAAACGTTTCATCTCATGAATTAATTCAAAAAAATGTGTTCAAATAAATTTGTGTGTAATGTTTTGTTGTGTTTAGATAACTAGTCTTTGTAAACACGCGCCCTGATCTAATGACCGTATCATAATGTTATCAACGTAAGTATACACTGCATGGTCATTCACATATCAGGGAACAAAATACAGCGAAAGTAACAAAGACCGGGAAACTCCGACGGAAAACAGGGGCAGTGAATACAGGTGCGTGAGAAACTCTACATTATCATCGGCATGGACATTAACGACATATGCTATCTAACATTTCTGAACCTCCAATTCAGGAGAGTTCGACAGCCGATGGACAAACTGGGTTACGCGGAGAGCAATATTAAATATATTTTGTAATTAATGACGATGGGATCGAAAATACATGTGTTGGTAGGCAATCAATTTACCAAATAGCTCCAACGTATACAGATTCGTAGAGAAATTTACCTGTGTGTCGAAAGAGTCGTAAAATGAGAGACCCGTATGCAGAAATTAGGGTTTTGGACATTGAAGTAACAAAAAATGATTTGCTGCTCCTATTGCAACACTTGTGATCTATATATCTCCCTTCCTTCCCCTTTCCTTCCATTTGTGTCTCCCTTGTCTTCATATGACCCTAACTGTTGCGACGACGTTAAACCCCAACACTAACAAAATAAAATAAAATAAAAATACAAACATAGAAAATGAAATATTTGAGGTGTAATTTTTTTACGTTAAGTCCGACGTATGCTACCTTATATAGACCAGTACTTCATAACAAAAAACTTCCAAAATATAACATGTACAATTCTTATAATTTAGCTAGTGAACTGCTGACATATTTGGAAGGTATACAACGCAGAGACATCAATATATTATACCAATAAGACCGAAGGGAGATAACTCTATCGCGTAGTATGTAATGTAGCATGCATCTTTAAGATACAATTATTTAAAAGCTAATATAACGAATGAGATTTGAAATATTAAAGTTCTTACTTACAAAGACAGTTTTTAACATATCTTTTTACACAAAGTCGGAGACAATGATAACGTTTTTCTTACGCTGAATCAATATATTACACCAATAGAATCAAAGGGAGATAACTCGATCGCGTATAATATGTATAATCTGTAATGTAGCATGTATCCTTAAGACAAAATTACTTAAAAGTCTATATTATACTAAACGTGACTCGAATGGTTAAAATGTTTCCACAATTTCTCTTATAAACAAAAACAGCTTTAGCATACATTTTATTTTAATATAATATTATAGTTCATATTACAAAAATGTATATATGTAATTGGTGGTCGGGTGGCGCAGTGGTTCGATTTCTCGATCGGGCAAGAAAAGGTCACCTACTCGACCGCATTGGTTTGTTCCGGGTACTCCGGTTTCCTCCCACATAAAAACCACTGTACGCTAACAGCCGTGCCACTACGAGTGTTTATTATATGTATTAGCTGAAATAACTTTTTCATAATTGTAAAACAATCAAGTTCATGAATTACATATTTATATCAAACATTTCATATATCTGACGGTTTAACAAAAAATAACTCTAATAGTGTTCTTGAAAATACTGCAGTGACAGTTTATGTTACGAAACGTCGCTTAGTTGACCGGTTTTAAACAGTAAATTATAATCAAATGTACAATGAATTATAGACCATTGCGGTCTAATGTACCCTTATCAGGAGACTACTGAAATATCTTTGTTTACATTTTTCTCTTTATCAGTGAATCAAGCTCGCCAATACATGCAATCATTCTACCTCGTTATAAAGGAGACGGTTACGAGCGTTGTTCATATGGCCTGTCTTTCGTGGAATTACTCAAACAAACACTAGGAAAATGTCTTTTCCTTATCATGTACTTTTTCCAACGCTATTTTTTTCCGATTCCTGAATTAAACTGGAAATTCTAATTGAAATCTGATTATACAGCTATTGAAATGTTTGAACATGTAGTTGGTGTAGTTGAAATGCCGTCAGTTTTTAAAAGCTTTTCAGTTTTATCTAATCAGAAAGAAATCCAGTTTTTGAAAATAACATTTATTTATTTTTCTGCTAACGAATTCAAGATAAAAAGTACATTCCGATGAAAATTGTACAGAACATGTTGGATTTAGCCTATTGTAGGGTTATCATACATGTATATGATGCCTTGTGGTTCTTCGACTTTCCCCTCCCGATATTTTTTGTTACCCAATAAGATTGACATAAAGAGACACCTGAAAACTGGTATTGAGGTAATATTAACATTATGCAACGTATAGGTGAAAAACATATATTTGATTGTTAGACTAATAATAAGAAAGAGCAAAACCTTGATTATTTTTTCAGTCCCAGAGCGTATGTGTGTTTCAGTTAATAATTATTCAATGACTATAATTATTTATGTAACATCACGTTTATATGTGTAGCGTATTAAATTACAGAAGATTTTTTTTTAAAGTTTTTTTTTTCAAAGTTTTTTTTTTTTTTTTAAAGTACAAAATACACATATGGATTGGTAAGACATTTTGGTTTAAACTCGTGTGTCTACATGTACAATGGTTTTAATATCGTTTGATAATAAAATTGATTACTGCATGAGCATGCACTTCGTCCTCATAGAACAATTTAAAAATGAAAATGAATATTGATATAAACCCCCACCCGACCCCTCGCCTCGCCTACCCGAACAATTAACAAATCAACAGTACCCATTAGCAACATACTTCCACTATTCAAAATTTGAATACCTTTGAAACGAATATTATTTACATATAATGGCGAGCAATATGTGTTTGTCACCATTAATGATTTTTTCGGTCTGTAACATTTATTTTGGATTCCTGCTTTCAGACATACACAAATTTATCAGCTCAAATATTCATTAAAAAAAAAAGAAAGAAAAAAGCTAACCAGACGTTGAATTTCCGAACTTATGTCTATGTATTTAATGTTATAAGCTATTGGACTGGTTTATCTTGAAGTTAAGTTTGAGTTTAATCATACAGTTACCCCGATATTAAAAGCCTTGTCAGTTTAAGCAATATCAGATGGATTATTTTTAATCTTTCTCTCAAACTGATATGATATTTTGAAATAAATCAAAACATTGCAACTGATATTAAAATGAGTACATAAACACGCGATGTTGTTATTTTAAGAAAATTGAAAACTCAGAGTAATTTATTTTAAAAACGTTTAAGTTGACACTTTACGAATCAAGATGTATGAACTTTGCCGTGGTAGGTTTGAAATCTATATACATGGACTAAATTGAGTATATTCCCCACAGGTGTTTCAGATATCGGCACGGGAGCCAACAAGGAGCACGTGTAGCGATTAAGAATTGAAATTTCAAAAGGAAGGAGAAAAATAATTTCATGCGACAAACCTTTACAACCCTCGGCGGTGTCGGTAACCGCATGCTATATATAATACGTCGTGTTTTGGGATTTCATTTAGGACTGTTTAAAATGCTAGAACGTTTTGTCTAGAAATATCGGTAATAGTTTCATATCTGTACAGAAGAGGAAAATGTGTGGTTTAATGAGAAATGGACAACACAGTTAGTAAAACATATATTTAAATGTGCTTCTTGCATCATAAAATGGATGAGATTCATTGCACGTGATTAGACATGGATATATTGCTGTGTTAATGCAAAAACAAAATGTCCGGAGGCTTAAATCCAAAGGTTTTACTCAAACGTCGGACTGTTCTACATGATGCTTACAACAAATATGGCCAGGACAGGTGAGTGTTTAGTCCATGTAGGCGAGTGTTTAGTCCATACAGGTGAGAGTTTAGTCAATACAGGTGAGGGATTAGTCAGTGTTTAGTCAATACAAGTAAAAGTCAGTGTTTAGTCCATACAGGTGAGTGTTTAGTCCATACAGGTGAGTGTTTAGTCCAGACAGGTGAGTGTTTAGTGCATATAGGTGAGAGTTTACTCCATACAGGTGAGTGTTTAGAGCATTTAGGTGAGAGTTTACTCCATACAATTGAGTGTTTAGTGCTTATAGGTGAGAGTTTACTCCAGACAAGTGAGTGGTTAGTGCATATAGGTGAGAGTTAACTCCATACAAGTGAGCGTTTAGTGCATATAGGTGAGAGTTAACTCCATACAAGTGAGCGTTTAGTGCATATAGGTGAGAGTTTAATCCATACAAGTGAGTGTTTAGTCCATGTAGGCGGGTGTTTAGTCCATACAGGGGAGTGTTTAGTCCAGACAGGTGAGTGTTTAGTCCATGTAGGCGAATGTTTAGTCCATACAGGTGAGGGTTTAGTCCATGTAGGCGAGTGTTTAGACCATACAGGTGAGAGTTTAGTCAGCACAGGTGAGGGATTAGTCAGTGTTTAGTCAATACAAGTAAAAGTCAGTGTTTAGTCCATACAGGTGATTGTTTAGTCCATACAGGTTAGTGTTTAGTCCAGACAGGTGAGTGTTTAGAGCATATAGGTGAGAGTTTACCCCATACAAGTGAGTGTTTAGTCCATGTAGGCGGGTGTTTAGTCCATACAGGTGAGTGTTTAGTCCATGGAGGCGAGTGTTTAGTCCATACAGGCGAGAGTTTAGTCAATACAGGTGAGGCATTAGTCAGTGTTTAGTCAATACAAGTAAAAGTCAGTGCTTAGTCCATACAGGTGAGGGTTTAGTCCATGTAGGCGAGTGGTTAGTCCATACAGGTGAGTGTTTACTCCATACAATTAAGTGTTTAGTGCATATAGGTGAGAGTTTCCTCAATACAAGTGAGTGTTTAGTGCAAATAGGTGAGAGTTTACTCCATACAATTGAGTGTTTAGTGCTTATAGGTGAGAGTTTACTCCATTCAAGTGAGTGTTTAGTGCATAAAGATGAGAGTTTACTACATACAAGTGAGTGTTTAGTGCAAATAGGTGAGAGTTTACTCCATACAAATGAGCGTTTAGTGCATAAAGGAGAGAGTTTAATCCATACAAGTGAGTGTTTAGCGCATAAAGGTGAGAGTTTACTACATACACATGAGTGTTTAGAGCATATAGGCGAGAGTTTACTCCATACAAGTAAGTGTTTAGTGCATAAAGGTGAGAGTTTACTCCATACAAATGAGCGTTTAGTGCATAAAGGAGAGAGTTTAATCCATACAAGTGAGTGTTTAGTCCATACAGGCGAGAGTTTAGTCAATACAGGTGAGAGTTTACTCCATACAGGTGAGTGTTTAGTCCAGACAGGTGAGTGTTTAGTCCATGCAGGCGAGTGTTTAGGCCATACAGGGGAGAGTTTAGTCAATACAGGTGAGAGTTTACTCCATACAGGTGAGTGTTTAGTCCATGTAGGCGCGTGTTTAGTCCATACAGGTGATTGTTTAGTCCATACAGGTTAGTGTTTAGTCCAGACAGGTGAGTGTTTAGAGCATTTAGGTGAGAGTTTACTACATACACGTGATTGTTTAGTGCATATAGGTGAGAGGTTACTCCATACAAGGGAGTGTTTAGAGCATAAAGGTGAGAGTTTACTCCATACAAATGAGTGTTTAGTGCATAAAGGGGAGAGTTTACTGCATACAAGTGAGTGTTTAGCGCATATAGGTGAGAGTTTACTACATACAAGTGAGTGTTTAGAGAATATAGGTGAGAGTTTACTCCAGACAAGTGAGTGGTTAGTGCATATAGGTGAGAGTTTCCTCCATACAAGTGAGTGTTTAGTCCATGTAGGCGAGTGGTTAGTCCATACAGGTGAGTGTTTAGTCCATGTAGGCGAATGTTTAGTCCATACAGGTGAGGGTTTAGTCAATACAGGTGAGGCATTAGTCAGTGTTTAGTCAATACAAGTAAAAGTCAGTGTTTAGTCTATACAGGTGAGTGTTTAGTCCAGACAGGTGAGTGTTTAGTCCATGTAGGCGCGTGTTTAGTCCATACAGGGGAGTGTTTAGTCCAGACAGGTGAGTGTTTAGTCCATGCAGGCGAGAGTTTAGTCCATACAGGTGGGAGTTTAGTCAATACAGGTGAGGCATTAGTCAGTGTTTAGTCAATACAAGTAAAAGTCAGTGCTTAGTCCATACAGGTGAGTGTTTACTCCATACAATTAAGTGTTTAGTGCATATAGGTGAGAGTTAACTCCATACAAGTGAGCGTTTAGTGCATATAGGTGAGAGTTAACTCCATACAAGTGAGCGTTTAGTGCATATAGGTGAGAGCTTACCCCATACAAGTGAGTGTTTAGTCCATGTAGGCGAGCGTTTAGTCCATACAGGTGACATATAGGTGAGAGTTTACTACATACACGTGAGTGTTTAGTGCATATAGGTGAGAGTTAACTCCATACAAGTGAGTGTTTAGTGCATATAGGTGAGAGTTTACTCCATACAAGAGAGTGTTTAGAGCATATAGGCGAGAGTTTACTCCATACAATTGAGGGTTTAGTGCATATAGGTGAGAGTTAACTCCATAAAAGTGAGTGTTTAGTGCATTTAGGTGAGAGTTTACTCCATACAATTGAGGGTTTAGTGCATATAGGTGAGAGTTAACTCCATACAAGTGAGCGTTTAGTGCATATAGGTGAGAGTTAACTCCATACAAGTGCGTGTTTAGTGCATATAGGTGAGAGTTAACTCCATACAAGTGCGTGTTTAGTGCATATAGGTGAGAGTTTACTACATGCACGTGAGTGTTTAGAGCATATAGGTGAGAGTTTACTACATACACATGAGTGTTTAGAGCATATAGGTGAGAGTTTACTACATGCACGTGAGTGTTTAGTGCATATAGGTGAGAGTTTACTACATGCACGTGAGTGTTTAGTGCATAAAGTTGAGAGTTTACTACATACAATTGAGTGTTTAGTGCATATAGGTGAGAGTTTAGTCCATACAGGTGGGAGTTTAGTCAATACAGATGAGAGTTTACTCCGCACAAGTGAGTGTTTTGTGCATAAAGGTGAGAGTTTACTCCATACAAGTGAGTGTTTAGAGCATATAGGTGAGAGTTTACTACATACACATGAGTGTTTAGAGCATATAGGTGAGAGTTTACTCTATACAAGTGAGTGTTTAGTGCATAAAGTTGAGAGTTTATTACATACAATTGAGTGTTTAGTGCATATAGGAAAGAGTTTACTCCATACACGTGAGTTAGTGCATATAGGTGAGAGTTTACGCATATAGGTGAGAGTTTACTGCATACACGTGAGTGTTTAGTGCCTATAGGTGAGAGTTTACTCCATACACGTGAGTGTTTAGTGCATATAGGTAAGAGTTTACTCCATACACGTGAGTGTTAAGTGCATATAGGTGAGAGTTTACTCCATACAAGTGGGAGTTTAGTCAATACAGGTGAGTGTTAAGTCTACACAGGTGAGCGTTTAGTCCATATAGGTGAGAGTCTAGTCAATACAGGTGAGTGTTAAGTCTGCACAGGTGAGCGTTTAGTCCATACAGGTGAGAGTTTAGTCCATACAGGTGAATGATTAGTCCATATAGATGAATGATTAGTCCATTCATGTTAGATATTTGGTACTCAATTTATTCAATTTATTTCCGCAAGTTTTACAACTTATAGGATTTGTATTTGTACAAAAACAAAATTATTTCATATAACTGGTACATTCATCACAATTCTGCAGCAACAACAACATCATCGAAATCGTTATTTTTATCACTTTCATCATATTGGTCCATACAGGTGAGAGTTTGTTCCGTACAGGTGAGCGTTAAGTCAATACAGGCAAGCGTCTAGTCCGTTCAGTTGAATAGTTAGTCCATGCAGGTTAACGTTTACTCCGTACAGGTAGGTGTTTAGTCAATATAGGTGAGCGTTTAGTCAATACAGGTGAGCGTTTAGTCAATACAGGTAAGCGTTTAGTTCATACAGGTAAGCGTTTAGTTAATACAAGTGAGCGTTCACTTGATACTGGTGAGCGTTAAGTCTACCCATACAAGTAAGATTTCAGTCTAAACAGGTGATCGTATAGGTAAGTGCAACGAAATAACGAAAACACATAATGAAATGGCACACATCAGCCATCATAGTAACCTCCCTTATTTCGTTTTGGTCATAGATGTGGTGCGGTTCTGTTGACCATGTAACTGAGTGGTTAGCTTGAGATATAATATGGCAATCTGAGGTCAAGGGCCCACTTGTATAAAACATCTCAAAGTTAAGGAAAATCTCAAGCAATGTATTTTCTATGTGAAATCTTAGACTTAAGGAAATCTCAAGAGTTGAGATGTTTTATACAAGTGGGCCGAGGTTTATTATTGTTTTTAAATAAAACAACAGCAATGCATGGTCTATATGCAGATCTTTCATGAATTCAAGGTTTTGTTATAGAAAACGGTCGATTTAGCGGATGATCGCTATGCAGAGATGTACTATCTACCCTGGTAATAAGTTTCAGCTATGTTTACTGAAATAATTGTTCGTCGTACACGTACGCTAAATTATCAAGTTCCCCAAACGAAACGGATGACTTATTGCTTTCGTTACGTTTCATTTATTATTAATCTTTCCTCCTCTTTTCCGTTTTTAAATCTGTTTCCGGTATTCTTTTCTTCTCCGATTGGTAATTTAACATGGACGCTGTGACCTATAATTGATTGATTCATTTATGGTATGTTCGACAAGGTGATGTCATCGGTCCCATATTATGTCTGATTCATTTGGAATTGGGGTACTAATGTAACGGTCCTTCAATATACATAGTTTTAGTATGAATGTGACGTGAGCGGTTGAAATAAAGTCAGTTTAAACGGATTTTCTTTCGAAGTTCACATTTTTCGTTTTCATTCCGGAAAAGGGACGTACCAAACCAAGACCTAGATACACAAAATGGTCAATTCCGGATATTCCACTAATGGATATAAATGCGCTAATATTATGTACATAATGCTATAGAACGAGTTTACGATGACGCCAGAAGCTGTCATGTGATACACATAGATTATACCGCTGTCTGGAGGTAAATATTACAACGAATATCATTTGCAAAGCGTTTTACGTTCTCTAAATCCCTGGTTGGTCGAGTAGTGGCGTCTGATCGTCTATGATTACTAGCCCTTAACTACTGGGTCGCGGGTTCGAGCCTTACGTGGGGCAGTTCCCAGGTAATGCCGTTGGTCGGGGCTTTTTCTCCGGGTGCTCTAGCTTTCCTCCACCACCAAAACCTTGCATGTCCTATACATGACTATAGCTGTTAAAAGGACGTAAAACACAAACTCTAGACCCCTGAAATATATCATGGCAAAATTGAAAGCGAGCGGTTGGTCTTCAGGGGAGATAAATCTAGTTAAAATTAGGATGTTAAGGTGAATTGAATACTAGCTACAGAGAGAGGCGCCGAGACGAGGTTGTCCTTTCCCGCCTCCTGATGGGTCACTGAAACGTGAAGATCAGCCTCAATGCATAGCGTGTCAGGAACCATTTACAGTAAAACACTTGTTATTAGATTGTGTCGACCTTCAGTCAACTCGAGAACATTTCTATAATAACATTACATGTCTTAAATCTCTTTTCGAAAGCATAACCGTCTCTTCAATTTTAGGCTATTTGAAAGCTGTTAGTCTTTTTATCAAATGTGAGTCACCATAGATACTTTCAATATTCAAATTGATGTTTGTCTTTTACCTTTAAAATTGTTTGATGTTTTTATTTTGCATTTGTTTTTGTCGACCGTTTGTTGATCCTTATGACCCCACCTGTGTTGATGGGCCGTTAATCATTAAATAATAATAATAAGAGGATGTAAAAGTAATCAATGTGGTATTTTTATGAAATTATCCCAAGTGTATTTGTATGGTTGTTCTTGTATTCTTCATTTATCTCTGTACATTTTCAGAAACAGATACAACAGCGCCTCCTGGCGGTCAGAAAACCAGGTTCGGTACAAAGTGATTGATTTTTCCCGGGTATCTCCGGACAAGGCACCGTTTCTTTTGACGACGCTTGATTCGAAACGGCACACCCCACAGTCAAAGCATATTTTCCACATACATAGGGTAAATCAAAAGGTATGTACCTGTCTCCCCTTCCATAACTATACAGTACACATGTATATTTCTTCTGTAACCGCGAACCCAAACCCGGTCCATACACTATCCCTATAATCAACCTGACAGGTCGGGGTCGGTAATGGAGGGAAACTTAACTTAATGTTAAATCCCCCTATACACCGACACTGCAAAATTTGGAATTTGCTTTTGTGTCCTCTCCTTGGGGACACAACAGCGACCAAAGTAAATATGCTACAAATATTATCTCTTCCTACCAACCTTGCCGTGTGTGTGTGCTTTTTTCAAAACCCCTTTTATCACCTAACGCCTGCTTTACAATAAATACATTACCTTTGGTCTAAGCTTAAACATTCACCTAAGGAGGAAAGGTTGTGTCTTTTGTCCCCGGGTAAGGACAAACCAATATTCCAAAGTATGGATTTTTTCTCCCTGCTGTACGTTCAGTATTTAGGGTAATCACAAAACTGATTAACCTATTGTTAGTGAATTGCGATCTCTTGGAATACTGTGCTGGGTGCCTCTATGCACTTATCTAAGTGAGGTAGCACTCAAACACCGGCATCAGATTCGCGCTATGGCAGGGAGGCAAATAGAGAAGTAAAACATATTTTGAGTCTAAAAAGATTGAGGGTAAATTACATGATGGCGTAATGAAAAGTTACGCCAAAAAATATCTATCAAACAAAAAAGTCTCTGATAGCATTCCGGTAATACTGATTTGTCAAAATCAAATAACAGTTATCCAAATAAGGGGGATAACTCTTACACAAATAATATGAAATATAGCATACACCCTTAAGGAACTACTACATACAAATACACTGCATGCAGTCTATATCTTCTATACACATATTACTTTTAGTAAAGCTAAAATCTCTCTACTTTAGCGATCGCATTGAGTTCCTAATCGATTGGGATTTGATCGATTTCACAATTTAGATTCCCTGTGTAACTTCTGACTGAGACTATAAAGAATCCTATCGGAATACTGATAAATGTATATACTATTGATTACGCTGTGTCATTCACTATACGAACGTTAGTAATACCTATACAACTCCACAGTTATCGACGGGGTCACTTCAATCTTATAATTAAACGGTTAAAGCAGTCTTATAAACTCTTTATCGTTCTTATTTAAAGCATAACAATATTAAAATAAATACATATTTTTTGTCTCAACAATGGGAAATGAAATGGTACGGATTTCTACACAATATATAGATTTTCTGTTCATAAGAATCCTAGCTTAACGTTATGTATGGTCGTGGATTCCATTTCATAACATGACATATAATTGTGTTCCAAATATGAAAAAATAATCGATAATGAATATTGAAATATTTTGATGTTATTGTGGTGTTCACAAGACTTCATATTGACCCTGTTATTAGTCATTGTAGAAAACAAACACAAACATACCACAAGCGATAGGAACGATTGTAGCGTTCGAGTGCTTCCCATTAGTCGTTCTGATCGATTAGAACAAGATTGGTCGAAATGGAACAGTGGAACTTTAAAACGCAAATCAGTGTAATTATAGTATTTCATTCCTCCATTTCACACGCAGTTTCACAAACTTACATACATAAACTGGATATGGAAATAACCTTTTATTTATTCACCTCCAAAACACTGATAGTCTAGCGTATTTTCTTTAACGAAATTATAGGTTTTTTTCTTCTAATAATTAACATCATTTTTGACACATGCGTTAGCAAGTGTCTAGGGGATCGCGCATACTACGAAATTTGCTTAAAAAGGAACTGCACTTTTTAAAAAAAAATTCTACAGATCGGCAAGTATGGATTGTAGAAAGGTTTATATAACACAACCAGTGAGGTTTTTATGTATGACTTCTCGATGACTAGTGCATGTGTACTCTATAATCTTCATTAGACAAATATCAAGTGAAGCGTTTGTTTGTTTGAGTGGTCTTACCTCTGCTTCACTACCGAGTAGTTCGGTTATCCAGCAGACGAAGAACAGACAGGCTAAGTGGACTTGGTAAAGTGTGTAGCGGAGGAATAGAAAAGGATGACAGAGCAGAGAAGGAGAACTAATTTACAACGCTTACTTAGTAAGACGACTCCTTGGTTTAATGTTCGCCTAAATTTTGTTTTAACGCTGTTGACACGTAGTCGCTTAGCAACGCCACGCCCCGACGCAACCGGAAGAGGAACACGAAGCCGCCGCGAATTACACCGGCTCCAGACTAACCTATACAATTTTGTTTAGTCTATACATTTTTGAATTGGGTGGGGGCAATGTAATGTCTATTAAAGAGGATATAATTCTAACGGCCAAAACAAACCTAACCCTATCCTCAGGGTCGGCGTTATCACGTCACGCTTCTTCGAAAATACTCGGAGCGGTCTTTTCCCAGCGATGCGTATTCAATGGTCATACAGCGTACTAGTCATCGAGACGTCACCCCTACACCCTTTACTGGTTGTGATAAATGAACCTTTTTACAATCGCTCTATTGTGTAACACCATTAATGTCCATAGCTTGTTTTACTACACATATAACATACCTGGCACGTCAAACTAAACCGATCTGCGTGGTTCCATCGGTCGAGCCAATTAATGGCAACACATTTAAAGTAAACAGTCAATCATAAAGTCGGGTTTTACTTATCAAATATGGCTGCGAATAGGTCCTAATCCATAGGTAAGTTGTGTGAAACATTTTAACAGTACATAGATTGTTAAAATCTACATTTGCACTGGTAAACTGATGGAATCAATATTAAATTGTTCATATCATTTTTTAAACCTGTAATTATTGTATTAATTTAAGTTGTAATTGATAAATATTATTGATATAAAACCATAAGTATACGCTGTCGGTTCAGTAGAAATGGTGCTTTATCACAACTATTAAGGATTTTCATATATATCGTTATGTTAACAAGCTATCGAAAGCAGTCAAAGTTCATTTAGAACGTCAGGTTTCTCCCGACACCATTACACACGAAAAATGAATTTGAAATGTGTTCCATAGTTTACAACCTAAGCTGTGCAGGGCAAGTTTTGAGACTGATCGGAAAACAACATGGTCGACAGGCAGTCATCTTGGATTTTGATAGTGAAAGTTTGTTATCGCTATTTCTCGGGAAGACCCAGAGGGATTTTCTCAAATTTTATATGTAAGTTCTCCTTGGTCCTTAGCTGTGCAGGGCAACTTTTGAGACTGATCGGATAAACAACATGACCGACAGGCAGCCATCTTGAATTTTGATAGTGAAAGTTTATTATCGCTATTTCTCGGGAAGTACGGGAGGGATCTTTTTCAAATTTTATATGTAGGTTCCCCTTGTTCCCTTGTTGTGCAGCAGTGCCTGAAATGGACGGTCTCTCGCTTGCCAATGGCGATTTAAGTCTTGCTCAGGCGACCAAAAGTTGTCAAAAGTGAAGTAGTAACTGGCCAAACAAAATAGTTTAGGCTGTTGAAAAAATTTCAGATTTTCTATATAAATACTGCCAGGGTGTCTTCTTGTGTATTTCTTTTTGGGAAGACCTGAATGGAGTGGAACATGTCAGGTTTTAACTAGGGTTGAAAAATTAAAAATATAATGTTTCATTCTGTTTTACATATAACAAACATTGTCATGTTAAATGAAATTTAAATGTGCTGAAGCATTGTGTTAAATGCTGTTGAAATATTTCTTGTCAGAATTATTTGGGCCACCAATATGTCAATTGGGCCAGTGCTTCAAATTCTTTACTCGCCCCAAAAATTGTTTTTGGGCCAGCCAATGCAGGTTCCCCACTATCCTTTATTTTTCATGTTTACTTTTGAAACTGATCAGTTAAACAAAATTGCCTACCCACAGCCGTCTTCGATTTTTGACATTGAACGTTTGGTAGTACTATTTCTCAGGAATAACTTGAGGGATCTTTCTCAAATTTGATATGTAGGTTGCCTTTGATCCCGTATATTCTGAGACTGATCATAAACACAAAATGGCTGAAGGAAGAACTAAACAGATCTTTCTCATATTGCAATGATCAATTCTATTTAATTCACATTATGTACTGTACTAGTAAATATGTGAAATGACAAACTCACTTTGAAGGTTGGCTTTCATACACATCAGTATTAAGTTTAGATCAAAAGTTACCTCAAGGTGCATTGACTATTAACGTGACTCGATCAAACAGATTAGAGGAAAGAAGAGAAAGATCGAACTGACAAAGAACTAATAAAGATGGTACAATGGTGGGCACCAAGATCCCTCTGGGATCTCTTGTTTCGTATACGGAAAGTGTCGATGATTCCCGATCGGGGTGTGTGTGTAGGTAGGGATGGTGTAGGGATGGGTGTGGCAGGTGTGTGTGTAGGTAGGGATGGTGTGGGGGATGGGTGTGTGTGTAGGTAAGGACGGTGTAGGGATGGGCGTGGCAGGTGTGTGTGTAGGTAGGGATGGTGTGTGGGATGGGTGTGTGTGTAGGAAGGGGTGTTGTAGGGATGGGTGTGACAGGTGTGTGTGTAGGTAGGGATGGTGTGGGGGATGGGTGTGGCAGTAACAAGAATTGCAAACGCTGAATTAATCCTTCTTAACATGTACAGGTTCAGGGAAAGACTTGCTTTACTGTGTCTCATTTTATGATCGTAAGAGGCGACTGAAGTGCCCCCCCCCCCTGCAGAATCGGTGGTGATTTCTTCCTTGCCTTTTGGTTAAGGGGACACTGAAGAAACCAAGAATATACCTGATGTATCCTACTGGGGGAGGGAAGCTGTGGAACCAGGGGGTGTTCTCGCGATTTGGAATTAACCAAAATGTATCTGCTCTCCCCATTGTGTCACTCGGAATCTTGTTCGTTTTCTATCTTTCCTGTCTTGTTTATTCTGATTTCTGTGTCTGGTGACATTGACAGAAGTATAATAACAGATCAATAAGGTCACGCTTAGCAATGGTAACTTGGTTTACATGTAAGTTAAGACATTGTGTTAAGTAAGACGGGGAAAGGAGGGTTACTTTGCTAAATTTGTAAGTCCCTGCAAAGGTGAGACCATATAAGGACTAAGATAGGAAGGAAAAAATAACATCTCGGCGTGTAAGTTTTTATATTGTTGCTGATAATTTTCATAAAAAGTGGTATTTCCTACCAAATACTAACCAAACAATATGTAGATCAACAAACAACAAATCCAAAAGTACACTATTTTAAATTTAAGAATATCTTATTTAAAATATAACGATATTTTATTGAAATGCTTTTAGAACATATTATTGAGAATCTGATAATGAATTATTACAAATGAGAATTCACACGTAGATTATTATTCAAAACCTGAGAATAAATTATTTAAAACTAAGCACTGTATTTTGGCGGTAAATATTGAAGGAGAATACAACATTAAAAATCTGAGAATCCTCATATCTAATCTGAAAATACATACATTATTGAAAATCTGCGAATTCGAACTCGATAACCTAAAATTTCTTAATTAATTGAAATGTTTCTTTTTCAAGCAAATACCATCTTAACAGACGTGAAAGGTAAAGGGTCACCTTCCCAACCACGTGGGGTGTCTCTAAGTACTCTGCTTTCCTTCCACAAGAACCCCCCTTAGCGTTGCAACCGGAGAAACGAGAGTGATTTTTATAAGTTACAAACATTAATGTGTTTAATTATTTTGTGGCAGATTTTAATTGTGAATATAGGATAACGGTGACTTTCTAGCTTCTCGCTGGTAGAGCGTCTGACTAGGAACCTAGGGATGGCGGTTCGATCCCCGGTGGAAGCACACTATTATTTTGTCTATTACAAATGGTGTCCGTGGTTCTCCATGCGGTGATACGGAGTTAGAAGCTGGGTTGTGGTGTTCGAGGGGGAACACATTTAAAAATGGAAGTAGTGTTGCAGATTTAAAATTTTACATACAGAATTTCGGTGGCCTTCTAGCTTCGTGTTGGAGGGAATTTCCCTTTAGCTCAGCGGTAGAGCGTCCGACTAGGAACCTAGGGATCGAGGGTTCGATCCCCGATGGAAGCACCCTGTTCTCTTTCCTGTTACAATTGTTATAAAACAAATCAAAGTTTTATCTAAATTCTATGCGACAGACAATGGGGAACGGTTGAACAAATATAAATATATATATATATATATATTCAGTAACACGCCTGCTTGTTTCAATCAATTGATGAGCAACCTATTTGGTACGTGTATTTACAAGCAAGCTTTCATATATTTAGCCGATATGTACAGTCCAGACATGGCCAGATGATCCCAAGGATATGGACAAAAAGAACAATGGGACGTCCATATATATGACGTCATTCAAGGAAAACCCGTGGCCGCAAGTTCCTAAATTTGTTCATAAAAACAAAGACACGAAAGCAGAGGGAATAGGTAAGTAACGACGGAAAAAATAACTAATAAACGAAATAAAAGTGGAGGGAAGAAATAAGTTAAGACTGCCATGCCTCAGAAATGATTTCACAATGTTTGAGATTAAGCGGTCATTTTAAATACTTTTGAATGTGATGTAATTTCGTAGGCTAGCGCAATTGTAATTCAATCCAATTACCGTAGCGGTTATTCATTTGCCCCTGGTTTTTACCAGTCACATTTATACGATTTGCGAAAAGTCGCTTTATCGATTAAACAATGAACATGTCTAAAATACCATGGCGTCCTCACACTTCTGGCAACCACTAAAAAAATAAATATTAATAAATCGAAAAAAATCAAATTCTCTATCGTTTACTTTTAAATTAATGTATCGAAACAGCATATACTTCATTTTTCAAATACTGTATTTGTTGTTTTTTCAAGCAATTATTTTGAACGGTTAATGGTTAAATTATGTCTAACATATAATTCGTGCCCCATGGCGGTATTTGTTTATATCATGTTGTAGTTGTCGTTAATTTATTGAAAGTTTAAAGTATTCTTTTTGTTTCAAGTGCCATTTAATCTTCCTGCCGAAAATTTTGACGTCAGATCAGAAATGATGTTGCCCGTTTGTGAAACAGTAAGTATGATGTGTTTATCTTACCCCCGACAAGGAAATCTCCCCAAAAAGCTCACTGCTAGAATTTTCCATCCCTTTGATTCTTGCTCGTACCCAGACGCGACATTTGGCGTCATGGCCCACACTCTCGATAACTATGCTGAGTTTACCGCTTTAGTACAGAATCTATGGCTTATCGAAACTCTTTACACAAGCAATATCAATTAAAAGTTGACAAAATGAAACTTGATGTAAGTTTTTTTCAAATAGTAAGGGTAGTTTTAACTGTTTCAAATTAACCAATCACCCGCATCGTTTTTATTTCAGACACAGATTCCATCTGCTCCGAATCCACATAAGTACCTGCTCCGGAGGAGGAAGGTGCCTCCCTCGTTTCAATGTAAGTCGGCGAAGTACGACTGGTTGGCATTCCGAACAATATCTTATATGATAATCATTGCAAAATGTAATTTAAAAAAACCCCGAAATACATTTGCCAAAAGTTTTAATATAACGATATCATTCAGTTAGATATCGCGTTGTTCCTCACACTCATATATTATCTGATACTATTTGTAGCCTCTGGCATATTCTACAACAACAAGGGAGAACCCATGCAGTCCCAGTCTGAAGACCGTCCCCATTCAAGACCTCCGCCCATGAACGACAACTCTGCGCACGTGAGCATCACTAGTCTGTGCGGACACGACTTCACGCGGAGGCGATACATAGCGCCACCTTCCGGTATCTTAACCGTCACTAGTAAGTACCATTGCGTCATGTACCTTCCAGTTTGTTAGTACGTGTTGTTTTCCAGAGCGCCACCTTCCGGTATCTCAGTTGGTGTTATTGTATATTAGGGTCGCAATCAAAAAGTACCAAGCAAAGCTAGAGGGCCACCTACTGATCTAGGTCTTCTAAAAAGTAGACGTATGTGTACAACCTGGAGATGAATTATGGGGTGATGGTGTGACAAAACAATCTTTTAATGTTGAACAACTTGTCTGTGCTATTAATTCATTAGAAATGTAATTTCTGTTGATGTAAGGTAGATTATAAATTGTATATACATGTGTAGCGGAACGGAACTGGGTCGATCGTCGGCGACCAGATGGCTCAATTGGTAGAGCGTCCGTCTAAAGTTCGGAGGGTCCCGGGTTCGAACTCCGGTCTTGCTGTTACATTTTCTCTTTCTCCTGTTACACAATTGGCGAGCTTGCCAGCCATTGTTTCAAGCATTGGGAGTATGCTTAGCAAGGGGATACCCGAAGTTGGGTTGTAAATATATATAGTTTTGTCTTCGGGGGCGAAAACTTAGAAAAAGGAGGGAGGAATGTAGCGAAACTGGAATTGGTCGATCGTAGGCGACCTGGTAGCTCAAATGGTAGAGCGTCCGTCTAGAGTTCGGAGGGTCCCGGGGTCGAACTCCGTTCTGGCAGTTACACTTGTCTTTTTCTCCTGTTACACATGAACAATAGCCATAATAGTATATGTTCAATAAATAAATAAATTACTTTTCAGATTTTGATGGGGGCGCCAAGGCGATCGGCAGTAATCGGTTTGACGAGAAATACCTGCCTTTTATCCGGGCCAAGTCTGTCATCTAATTCTCCTCTTGTAATTTACGATCCGACTACCGGAATTGTGCTTTACGGACTCTTTATGTTAGAATGGATGTGCTTGTCCACCATAATTTAAAATAGATAGTTGAACAATATTATTTATAAATGCTTTATTTTTACGGCAACTGTGATAATAGGAAATTGTAAAGTTCGATATTTCATAAAAAGATATTCTTCTGGTATTTTGTTCTATGTTGTTGTATATTATAAGATCGATTATATGAAAAACACGCATCCTTATAGATATATTTATTTGTTATGAATTTTGAATAAAAAATATATCTTTACAGCGACTTGTTTGTTTTTCTGTTTTTTAAAAACTGTTTTTATGAACATTCCGGGGTCCGTATTCATGAACCGTTCTTGTGCTCAATCTTATATCCTGTGCTTAAGGTCAATTTCTTGCTCCTGTGATAAATGATTAAAGTTCATTTTGTCAATGATTTGAAATGATCTTGGAGAGAGACTTTTGTCACTCATACCTATGAGTCATGTCGCAGATATCGAAAGAAGAAGAAGAAGAAGACGACTTAAAACCGAATACCGTTTTTATGATTACACCTGACTTTCACAGTTCCCGAGCATGATAATGGTTTCAGGAATACAGGCTTAGGAATTTAATCAAATTACTGCCTTTAAACGCCTCTTGATCTTTCCGCTTAGACATAAAATGTGTTGCTTATGACATACCTTGCAAATCATGCTTATGCGCATGCGTCAACATTGTTGGAAGACCTCAACAACAACAACAATATTCTAGAGGAGCATTCGTTTAGGTTTCTGTCACACTGGCCGGGGGAAAAAAGAAGAAATTTTGTCTGGAGCTTCTCTTCTTAATTACAAAATAGTGTTCCCCATTTCCCCCTCTCGATCAAAGTGACGAATTCAGGTCAAAGTTTAAGTCCTTTGTTAACATTTTCACGGGAGTCCGCTTTTCAAGTGATGCACATTTCAATTTACACAGGGACCTGGGAATATTTGGACATAAACTAAGGTGTTCAGAGAAAGTTTACACGTTTTAGGGGTTTAGATCAACTTTCGGCAAAAAAAAGCGACACGGAACATGCAAAATTACTCTGAAAACCTTATTTTGCACACAATGTAGGTCAAAATATAGCTGTAACAAATGATTAGGTCCCTGTGTCATTTTATACATACAACACCAATTCAAAGAGGTGTGTCATGGGTTATATTAAGACTCCCATTTCAAGATCAAAGTCACAAAATTGAATTCAAAATCAATTTCAATTCTTCCTTTCGGGAGCATAAATTCTTTATTATATATTTGTTATTAACAAAACTTCCTTGACCTATAAATAGCCGCGGGAACCGTAAGTCAATGTCCGATCGATACTTTCCTTTTGAAAATTTTAAATGTAAAAACAAAAATAAAAGCCCGGTCGGACCTTAGAGCTAAGGTGGCCGCAGCTAACTGATCAAGTACCACCAAACGGTAGGGGCCATTTTGATCTTAATCCTAATTCGATATATCTCAATCTTTAGTCATTCAAAAGTTATTTTAATGACAGAATTAATGAAACTAAATAGACAAACAGAATGTGAAGAACATGACTTTTTCGTATTAATATGTCACAGAAAAAGTATCTTGTCTGGTTGTAGACTTTTAAAGCGGAGTGCAACAGAATATTTCAGGGACGTCCGCTTTAAAAGGATCATATCAAATAAAGGTAAAAGTTGAAATCTCGTTTTACTTTTTTCTTTTTTAGAGCAAATTGCCTTCACTACCTAAGATGGAACGTCATAGGCTTATAGGCAATGTGACGTAAATGATGGATCTCAGAAGAATTTTCGTTACATATGAGATTTATGAAACGACCTTATCTCTAACACAAATCACAGGTATAATGTGTAAGGTAGCTTATATAACCTTAACTCTAACACAACACAGGTATAATGTGTAAGGTAGCTTATATCCGTAACTATAACACAAATCACAGGTATAATGTGTAAGGTAGCTTATATAACCTTAACTCTAACACAAATCACAGGTATAATGTGAAGGGAAGCATATATAACATTAACTCTAACACAACACAGGTATAATGTGTAAGGTAGCTTATATCCTTAACGATAACACAAATCACAGGTATAATGTGTAAGGTAGCTTATCTCCTGAACTATAACACAAATCACAGGTATAATGTGTAAGGTAGCTTATCTCCTTAACTATAACACAAATCACAGGTATAATGTGTAACGTAGCATATATCCTTAACTCTGACAAAAATCACAGGTAAAGTGTGTGATGAAGCATATAACCTTCATTCTAACACAAATCACAGGTATAATGTGTAAGGTAGCTTATATCCTTAACTATAACACAAATCACAGGTATTGTGTTTAAGGAAGCTTATCTCCTTCACTATAACACAAATCACAGGTATAATGTGTAAGGTAGCATATATCCTTAATTCTAACGCAAATCACAGGTATAGTGTGTAAGGTAGCTTATATCCTTAATTCTAACGCAAATCACAGGTAGAGTGTTTAAGGTACCTTATCTCCTTCACTATAACACAAATCACAGGTATAATGTGTAAGGTAGCATATATCCTTAACTCTTACTCAATCACAGGTATAATGTGTAAGGTATCATATATCCTTAATTCTAACGCATATCTCAGGTAAAATGTGTAAGGTAGCATATATCCTTAACTATAACACAAATCACAGCTGTAATGTGTAAGGTGGCTTATATCCTTAACTCTAACACAAATCACAGGTATAATGTATAAGGTAGCATATACCCTTAACTCTAACACAAATCTCAGGTATAATGTGTAAGGTAGTATATAACCTTCATTCTAACACAAATCACAGGTATAATGTGTAAGGTAGTATATAACCTTCATTCTAACACAAATCACAGGGATAATGTGTAAGGTAGTATATAACCTTCATTCTAACACAAATCACAGGTATAATGTGTAAGGTAGTATATAACCTTCATTTTAACACAAATCATAGGTATAATTAGTAAGGTAGCTTATACCCTTAACTATAACACAAATCACAGGTATAGTGCTTAAGGTAGCTTATATCCTTAACTATAACACAAATCACAGGTATAGTGTTTAAGGTAGCATATATTCTTAACTCTTACTCAATCACAGGTATAATGTGTAAGGTATTATATATCCTTAATTCTAACGCAAATCTCAGGTATAATGTGTAAGGTAGCTTATATCCTTAACTATAACACAAATCACAGCTGTTATGTGTAAGGTAGCTTATATTCTTAACTCTGACACAAATCACAGGTTTAAAGTGATAGGTAGCATAATGTATATCTCAACACTAACACAAAACACAGTGACGTATTATGTGACAGTTAGCACATAACCTTGACTCTTAACAAAAAACCCAGAAGTGTAGCAAAACAAATATCCTCAATGTAGTTTAATAAAGTTTTAAATTGAAAGATCCGAGAAGTAATTTAAAAGACAAGCTTAAATATGTTACGATGATCATACTGAACAGTTTTATTACGATGGCTGTAATATATAGAACTATAACATATGGTAAAAATACAACTTTGTGCAGACCAATATTTATATAAAGTCAAAACTTTTCATAGGATCAGAACGGATTTAGGCATAGGCATAGACACGAGAGGACTGGTATAGGTATAGGCTATTGTCACTAGGAGGATTGATATAGGCATATGTTAGTGTCACTAGGAGGATCGATGTAGGCATAGGCTGGTGTCACTAGAAGGATTGCTATAGGCATAGGCTATTGTCACTAGAAGGATTGCTATAGACATATGTTGGTGTCACTAGGAGGATTGATGTAGGCATAGGCTGGTGTCACTAGGAGACGACTGAAGAAATCATACAGACAAAGTCTAATGTCCAGCCCCTCTGCTTTTTAAACGTGTAAAATAAAATTGAAGTTGAAAAGAAAGACCATTATATTTCAATGTCAAAATTACCTACAAGCTAGCTTTATCATAGGTTATGAGACAGATAAAAGCAATTTGTGTTCAAAGGGAGGTAACTGCAGAATAACTTTAAACCGATTGACGTTACAGTAACATATTCCAAGATTTATAGTTCAAGGGGAAAAGGACATTAACGATAACTCCGAACATCTTTTCCAAAAAATCCTTGTAGGGCCGTATAAGATCTTTGGATACAAAACCGATTTTGATGTGTTTGTGTGTATCAAAGGAAAGTAGCCGGAGAAAAATATTGTACCAATAACGTTCACTTAAACTACAATATAAGAACAATTATCATTCTGAAAATATGTTGAATGCATGAAAACAACTCCTGTCTTGACCGTTTAAACATGTCGCCACACAAAGTATTAACTGTCAAGTTTATAGGGCCACACGCATCTTGAATTTTGACAAGTTAATTGTATTGGAAATTAATATTTTTTTTTGGCGATTCAGTCGTCATCTGATGAACTGGAGCTGCTGTCCTCTTCCGGTTCCGGTTCAGGCTCCGGTTCAGGCTCCGGTTCCGGTTCTTCAATAGGATCAGTCATGACTTCTGCATCCGCTGTTTCCAATTCTGTCATTACTTCTACTTCCGCTGTTTCTAGCTCAGTGTTTGTTTCGACTTCTTTCGGATTTGAGAAAATGTATTTCAATTGCTTCTTTACTTTCTTACAGTTTTTCTCGTGAACTTTCCCTCCTTCTACATCCTCCATAATGTCTTTGAGATACCGCCAATCGCGGCAGCAGACGGATGACACAGAAATTCCCGCCTTTTTCATTTCACGTAATCCCTCTCTGTTATCCTCCTCCTCGTCGCCATCTCCATCCACGCCGCGAAGTTTCACAATTTTCAAAGAAACATGAACGGTCTTTTCTTGCTCATGAAGTGAAAGTATGAACTCGCTGAAAGGTTTCGAAAACGATACCAGTGGTGAGAAATTCATGTATAATTCCATATTAATATCATCCCCCTCTAAAACAAACGGTTCGTTTGAAATCCATTCTAAGAACTTTTCTTCTGCTTTTTGTTCATCTTCAGCCTCGGAATGAAATATGTTAGTCTGAGCTTGCTTCCCGCCATCTTTGCTTACGACACAAACAGACACTGAATCTTCCGGAAGTTCCTCCTCCTTACATCCGGTATCCCACAGGATGTAGAACTCTGGCCGGTATAGAAGTCTCTCGTCCGCCATCTTGGATTATTTTAACTACAAAAGTAACAGTTGTATCAAATAAATCGAATATTGTTTTATTTTGCAGAAAAAGCGTCTCGAATATTTTACAAATGACTTGGGATGGGTCATGTTTGGCCTCATAAAAAGTTAAAAAAAAAATCAACTTGAATTTTTATACACCAATTTCTGTTATGAACATCATATTGGTTAATTTGGGATATCTTTCTTGGTGAGGATATTTTCCAATGTGCATGCGAAGATGACCTACCATAGCAACGAAATTGCATTGCTTTGCAGAAATAGCCAAAATATGGTGTTTTTGGACATTAAGCGTGCATGGGACAAACACAACTTCCTTTCTATGAATGAACACTGGTATGACTATTTAAACATGTCAAATATTTATTTGGTGTAAACGGAGGCTTTCAAAATTAAAGAGCGTGTAGTTAATTTTGTTCAAAATAGCCAATTTTCAACCAAATTGCACACAACAGACGACATTCACGCATTTTATTATGAAAATGCAGGTTTTTGTCTCTCTTTGTAGTCTCCTAAACCAGTTGTCAAATGAATTTGAAATTTTATATTTGCCTATTTCATTTACTTTAGGTCACGAATATAACAACTAATTCAAAATTCCCGACGAGATGGAACATGAACCTTAATGCCCCCTAGTCCTTTGTCATGTACACGTTTTGAAGCTTACACTTAAATGCCTCTGATCTCTCAACTATCAACGGATCATTTTGATTGGTATTAAAGAGAAAATGCAATGCTACAAACTAAATATTCATACCGACATAATTATAGAATGTTGTGAATTTTTATATGCAAATTGTGAGAAAAGTGAATTAACTCATAACGGGCAGGACTTATTGTGTGCTGTTTATAACAAAAAAACTAAGATTACATTTTCTACCATAAATTATTTTGTATTGCTGATATTTGCAATGTTTAAGAAATTTTATTAATCATTTTTATATTTGTACAAATAACCTACCTTTATTTAAAATATTTGAAGTAAATAACATTTATCTATTGACAATGATAATAATATTGAAATTCTTTGTTTGGGTTTTTAATGAAACTCATCTCAGAATCACCATATGTATAGAGATGTTTATTAAATATCTCTTTATGCTGAAACATAAAATTCTTTTAACTCTAAATTGTTTTTCTAATATCCAATTTTAGAGTACAACTACCCTTTAAACATTACTTGAGGTACAAATGTGCAAATTATCGCTGTGAAAAAGCATGACCTTTTTTTTTTTTTTTTTTTTTTTTTTTACAGATATCTACGAATCGATTGTTTACATAATATGATTGTCTGACATTAACGCTTTAAATATCTTTATATTTAGATTTTCTTTAGACGTTCAACTTGTCGATGTGCTGTTCAAAGTAAATCAAAACTCAACCGTCTTCCTGTGACTGTGACAGTTCCTTGGACATTAAACTCCGATCATTAAGATCAAAACTCAAATATCGATAAATCAGCTTGGTCTGCATCTTATTAAAAAATAGTAACAGCAAATACGTAGTCATGTATTTTAACTCGATCACCCCTGAAGACACAATTGAACTCTTCCAATTCAAAGGTTGGAATAGTTCATTATGAAATTTCAGGGGTGGATGCGTTAAATACCTAGAACCAGCGGTAACCAGTCCTCCATATGATATAGGTGATATGTATTGCCTCTATACGTGTGACTGTGTCTGTACGTGGGTGTATACGCTTTCTCTACACACCTGTGCCACAGGAACATGCGAATTGTGAACACCTGGTATATCGAGATATATCGTGATATGAAGACAATACTATTAGACGTGCTCAAAATTAACAAGTACAAGCTATCATTGAGGGTGGCATTTCACCGAGAGTTGCTCAAAATCTACATGCCACGTGCAATAAGGTCAAATAAATATACGTACTGTTACAAATTCTCAGGTCCCTGTGACTTGTAATTCTGACTGTGTCAGCATATATATATGTTTATCATGTACATGTTGTTATTTCGGGCACTACACATTTATACTAGGCCTAACTTCCACCTCCGAGACATATACTAAGTCAGAATTATAGCATACAACACGAAGGGAAATCACAGTAAGGTACTTATTTTACCTGTACAACTTACCTGTCGGACTTGTGAGCTCTGCAATGCTGTCCCGGTCTCTACCTGTATTACAAAGATGGCGGACACAGGTGTAAAATATTTTCACAGCAAAGAGCGCTGTATTGTTTACATGCTATGTAGAAGTGTAAATAACCACAACTATGTCGCGTATAATTGGCTGTAATTTTCTAGTCACACGTGTGCCACATTGAACGCATGAAGCCTATCCCTTCCTCCTAGTGCTGGAGGCGCTCAAGTAATGATACGTTAACAATTCATTATCATGAAATGTTTAATTCATTTTCTGCATATGATTATAACAAGGTTATAATTGCTCAAAATTTTAGTATACAATAAAAGAAAAATGAAATCTCAAGGGTCGAACTAGAAACATATCAATTTGAAATCACAGATTTCACTGCAGTGTGGTTTTCGGTTTATACAGTAAACCTCCCCTTATTTTCCTTTTGGACAAAACTGTACATGTACCACAGTTGGCTCCTGACACTTCCATTGGCTAGGTACGTACCTCTGCAGTCGAATCCTTAGTTCGAATCCTGGTCTAAAATTGCTAGATTTATACGTTTAGTACACTATTTTTTAATTTATTATATTTTTTATTTCATATTTATCATCTTTTATAATAAAAACAAGTCCTGCATGGTATGGTTTTCTTTTCGGAAATTATTTATCAAAGCTATAGTAATGCTAGGAAAATTAATTTCCAATACTTTGTTCCACTTTTTAGCAGTGGTGCGAGCATCCTTAAGCTCCAAACAAGTACAAGACAAAGACAAATTTTGATTGATGATATCTCACTTTATTGTAATATTTCTCTAAATGTTATGTTATTCTGTACAGTTCTCCGAACTTGTCTGATGAAGACAATGAAAATATCTTCCATATAGTCCAAACCTACATTAAAAATAGTAACAGATGTTAAGGTCAGTAGTATTATCGTATCATCTCTATCTCTTATTCTTCTCAATTTCTTTTTCTTCCTTTAATTCCCTTCCATTCTTCTTTGTTCATATATATAATATTTTTATAGATATACTTGTTGTTGTTGTCATGTAATTAATATAATGAAATGTATTGGAGAGGGCGTTTCTCAGTTTAGATAACTTGTGCCTAATCCTTTTTGTTGAATAACAAATAAAATATGTTTAAATAAAATCCAAACAAGATTTTACTCTTCGGTTTAATTGGTCATGTAGAGAATCAGCTTTTTTTTTTTATCACAGTTATTAATTTTGGGAATATTTTAAGGATCAAACGTAAAAAATAACAACAAAATTGTTAAGAGTGTAAATATGAAATGATATTAGGGTTGAACCTAAAACCTTAGAGTTCTAGCGTAAGAACGTAACTAAGGGGAGGTAACTGTTTGTTCGATCATGTTTTCCTTTCAATTGCAGAGGGATTTCTTAACTACTACAGCATCATTTGAGTGCAGCCCATACATTTCTCTTTGTGATGTATATGAAATCGGGACAGTGAACTGAACCACTGCATATGACGGTGTGTATAAGAGTTCACGGTATATATACAGAATTGTCAGTTTAAATTGACGAGTTATCCCTACAATATTACTACTTGTCACCCTTCTAATTTGTAACACTCTGATTAGATATCTTGCCGGAGTCTATATTTCTATAGACCCCGCTCTGCCGGGGTCTATAAGCACGTGCGACGGGGATAACTCAAACTAAAATCTCTCTTTATAACAACAAAGATGGCGTCCGACACACACACACAAGGCAATGAGGGGGTTTCTAGGGTGCTTATTACAAAGTGTATTGTCCGAAATATTGCCGAAAAGTTGTCCGGTAGGGGCTATTTTGGTAGCAGTCAAGTACAACTCAAACTCACAAAGTGAGTTATAACCTTGCAGAAAATAGGTAATAAAAGATTGTCAGGGTGACAAATTCGTTATCTCTGGGTTAGGAGGGGTCTCCTGGCTCATAGACCCCTTAGACTCGGGGTCTTTGAAAACCAGACGGGGTCTATGAGCCCGTAGCTCCCTCCTAACCCAGAGATAACTAATATTGTATAATCATGCCCTCTACCACTTATATAGCTGACGCCACGTAGAACCTCATATCCCCCGCCCTCCAACGAAAATATACATGTAAACAAGCAAGTCGAATTGTTTCACATGTCGAATGAGGGTACTCGCATTTAATTATGTATGTATTTGGAGATTTGCCAGCAGACAAAATAAAAGTGTTCAGCTTCTAGATCTACTTAAACCTGCCAAGCTTTTGGTCATAATGTTCCGCTGAACTTTCCGCGAAGCATCCTCGATATCCTGGGGTAACGTTCACTTTCGCTCTCTACACCCCTGGAATATGTCATGGCAAAATTAAAGGCACGAAGATAGCTGTTTGATTGTTCTCAGGTAAAAAAAGAACTGACCAATCGCTAACCTGTCCTTTGAAGATCGCCCGACTTGAAAGCCTGTCAACTTTCACCGTTACGTGACCGCGAGATTCTTTTGATGTATATCAAAGGATCGAACTAGTCTCCTTGTCTCATCAATAAGGTGGCGCACACCGAGCCTTCAATTTTGCTATGACATATTCCAGGGGTGTAGAGAGCGAACGTGAGCGTAACCCTTGGACATCGATGATGACCGCGAAGGTGACCAGCGTTCGTTAACCTGTCAAATGCTGACTTCATATGTCGATAGAAACACCACAAAGCATGGCTTCAGTGTTTATTGCCTATCGTCTGTAGACCAATATCGACTGAAAATCAAAATTCCTTCCCTAATATATTCAATTAAATATACAAAATAGGACGTGTATCACGTGACAAATGTTAGCGCGCGCAAAAGAACAGCTTAATTTAAATAATTAGACTATCTAAATCACTTTGCTTATCAAGGGCGTATGGACACTGAGGTAGACACAAAAATAAAGCTTTCGTTACAGTTTACTTGGTAGAAATGATATCATCAACATATGCTTGTATTTTATGGTGGAATATTTATCTCGGGATTCGAAAATTGTTTTTCCAAAATTTTCTCACCCTCGATAGATATTCAACCATAATACACCAACATACGTTGAACGCCTTTTACATAAGAGATATGAAGACTATTGATATTTCAACATGTTTATATACATGATGCATGTTCCTGTAATATGATTATTAGGTTATGACTCTTTCAAAATCTTACCCCGTATCAACCCTCGACCCATGTCAGCCCTCTGGCCTCTGACCCCTTGGGGTATTATGGAGGTCTCCGGTTAATACGGGGTAGGCTATATAATTACTCATATACTCAGTAACAATTATTAAGGGACCTGTGTTTACACGAGCGATATTAACATGTACAAGGACCTAGATTCGGTGTTAAACGATTTTTAACACCAGCATGATACATTTGATATCAATTTAAATGTTTGCCATCCTTTTAAAACATGCTTTATACAAATGTTGTAATTTTGAATGATGGACTCTTCAATATCGTCTTGTCAGCATTTTATGTTAACAAAATGTGGATGCAAATACTTGATTTCGTTCACCATTTGAATACATTGCAAAACGCTGAAGTATCAAAAATATGTAGTGTTTATTGAATATTAGGGATTATTTGGATTCAATATATGCTTACATACTTAGATAATATCTGATTCTTAATTGGTACAAAAACAACAAAGCAAGAAAAAGGTCACCATGGAAACATCAAAACAAATGAAATCTTGAACCTGGATACAAAATCAATAGAGATTTATGGAATTGCACCAAGATGCTGCGGCGGAACTGATGGGCAAATAATGTGAAATTTTAAAATGAATTTTCAAAGATTCAAAATAAAAGAAATATCGATAGGACCTTGACGACTACTGTTCCCGCAGCTTCCTATCTTGGAACATGGATAGTTCGTGGTCCGTATCCATGAGGCCGTTTTCATGCTCAAGCATGGATTTTGTGCTCAAACCAACTTTTCTTGTTACTCGCTAAAATCTGGCAACACGATAAAGAAGTCTAGTGTTACATTTGCAAATGGTATATGGCTTAACCCTTTCACCACTGTAGATCATAATGGACTCATCCATATCATTGCATGTTAGAGTCTACTAAAGTTACATAGCGGCAAAAGGATTAAGTCTTTCCAAAAGTCTTCAAAATCACAGACAGTATCTGATATTCTATATTCATTTAAAGACCGGAACTAGATTTAGAGCTTGAGCACAGAAGCTGAGTTTGATCATGACATTTGTTTCACGAATACGGTCCCTGGTTTCTTTCGTTACAATTTCCGACAACTTCTACAAAAACAAAAAATAAAGCTGGCTTTATATGTATTATTAATGAAAAAAAACCTCGATCATAAACAGACAATGTTACATCATAAATAGGAAGTGTTCCGCTATAAATAGGATGTGTTTTTTAGATGAAGAGCATTGTTAACGAAGGTTGTTCGTATGTAGTAATCACTATAAGTTGTTAAACCAAACATTGTACAGTGGAACCAAAATGGAATCCCGTCCCACTGCAGGTCAAGCCCTAGGGTTGGTAAGTTGTTCATGGTTTAACAGCCTATATCAACAGCTAAAGTCATTTAATGACGTTCAAACACTAGATAATTCCACTGTAGTTATTTTCCCCACATAGAGTAGCACTCCCTTAATTTCATTTAGGATATTACAGTACCAGGCTAGAGAACTACATCCTCGATACTCCAGGGGTTAAGCTCACGTTCGCCATCTGCACCCCTGGCATATGTCAAAGTAAAATTGAAGGCACGCGACTAGCTATTTCATTGGTCTCATTTAAATTTTCCCACAGACCAATCGTTAAGGCCGATAGCTGTCCTTTGGAGATAACAGAGGAGCGACACCCGACTTCAAAGCCAGTCAATTTTACCGTTATGCGACCGAAAGATTATTTTGATGTACATCAAATAATCAAACTAGTCCATTCGTCTCATCCGCAATGTGGTGCACATTGAGCCTTTGATTTTGTAGTGACATATTCCAGGGGTGCAGAGAGCGTTAGTGAGCGTAAAACCTGGAGTATCGAGGATTAAGAACTACCGCTGGTAAGGTGCTCTAGATCTATTAGATACAGCGCACGTGCTGTGATTAAAGGTCCATGACTCGAGTCCCGGTCTCG